ATGCCCCATCCCTCGAAACATTCAAGGTGCAGTTCGACAGGCCTCTGAGCAACCTGATCTAACTGAAGATGTCCTTGCTCACCACAGGGAATTTGGACTAGACGACCTTTAAAGGTTCCATTCAAAACAAACTATGCTATGATTCTATTTTACAGTTATAGCAGATATCCATGTGTTGAGATCTGTTTTCTTTCTACTCATACTTTCATGAGTATGAAGAGATCAGGTGGTGCTTAACTGCCCAGTAGGCAACTAAACACCACTCAGATGCTTATCTCCCCCTCCCATCACAGGAGTGAAGAGAAAAGCATGAATAAAGAGCAAGAAAACTTGTAGGTTGAGATAATAAAATTGTTTAACAAACAAAAGAGAAGTGGAAGAAGAGAGAAACAATAAGCTAAACACTCACCACTTCCCAGGAACAGACTGATAACTAGCCAGTTCCCAAGCAAAAGCTGGGTAACCTCTCTTAAACCTCCCTCCTCTCCAGTTTATTGCTGAGCATGACATTATAAGGCAAGGAATATCTCTTAGTTATTATGGATCATCTGCCTGGTTGTGTCCCCTCCCAATATCTTATACACCCCTCAGTCACTGTGGGGGGAAGGACACCGGGTGGAATGAGAAAGAGAAAAGGCCTTGACGCTGTGCAAACACGTTCAGCAAGAGCTAAAATATCAGTGTGTTATCAACACTGTTCTGGTCACAAAGAACACAGCATCATAACAGCTGCTATGAAGAAAATTAACTCTATCCCAGCTAAACCCAGCAGAATGAGAAAAAAACATGTATGCTTTCTGCATGGGCAAAAAGTTTCCTGTTCATTGGAAAAGTTTCACCCCCAAACATCTGACTGCCAGATCATTTCCAACTGGACATACACACTTGCTGGTGCTTTTAACTATCTACCAAAGGCCTAACATCATTCCCAAACAGCGAAATCAATTCTCTGTCAGTCCTGTTATATCATAGCATGCCACAGTATTTGCTGCAAAACATATCAGAAGAACTCTTTAATAAGCTACAAGAGATGACTGTAATACCTCAGTACAGATTTTGGAAACCATCTCCAGACAAGTGTCACAAGGAAACTTCCCTGGAAGGAAGTTACCCCACAGCGCTCAGTTCAATGGTTTCAGTTCCGTCTCCTGTAGCACAGATGTCTCAACACTGTCACAAATAAGATATGGCAATCACTAAACTAGGGCAGTATAAGACCCAGAGACTCACTGAGTGGTAAGTCCCACTTGCCTTAAACAAAGCTGTTGAATAAACAGATTTTGAGTCAAACACAGAGGGTTGTGCACAGGCTTGCCAGGGGCTTGAGATGATTAGGATTAAATTAAATACAGAATAGTGACTAAGGGAAGTTTTTACTTCCCCAGAGGAAATCTGAGGGAAACAATGCTTCAAACAGGAGTTTAATGAAAAGAATTTCAGACTTTTACATAGTTTCTAGAGACATTTCAGAATACACTATGAAATTCAGAAAGAATGAACGTAAGAAAATATGACCTCTGCTCTCCAACAATACGAAGTGACAATGAAGTTTGGTGGGAGGCTCAAGTTAAGTTCCAACCCTCATTATAACAGGGCCTATTACTTTTTACCGTAAGAAACAAAAATACTTTCCAAAGAATTAATTTCGAGTTGCTTCGTGATCAGTTACCAGAAACCTACTAAACTACAAGCTCACCAGTATGAGATCTCTATGTTTACTTGGTCTACTGAAGTTATCTAAGATCTAGGAAAGTGAAATACTGAGATTTTCATTTAAAGTTTGAGGATTAATATGTAAGTATTCCTTTTCAGTTGCTAACAGAGACGTCTTCTGAGAAAAGCTGAAAGAGACAGATTCAAGTAGCACTCTGGGACTCTGTTTTCTCTTTTAATTCTCTATCCTCTGTCCATTTCCAGCTTCAGTTTGCTTACCAAAGACAAATCAGTGAAGAACTGAAGAAGCACTGAGGGAAGTTCATACTCATGGACATAAAATACGCTTAAAATTATCCAAGTCAACGTATGCAACAGTGCCCATGTACAAGACACGCTAAATAGTTCTCAGGAGCAATCCCTTAATTTGCCATTTGTTAGGAATGTTTCATTCTGATTAAACAGCACACTACAACCTACATGGTAAGACTCAGCTACCCCACATCAAACTTGATTTAGTTCTGCAGATTTCTACATTTAGGATAACGTGTTACACTAACAAAAGCAAAGCAGCAGATGTACATCTTAAAATACAGGATTTTTCTGTTAATGAAAGTATATTTTCTGGTGCACAGATTTTTGGCAAAGACAAAATGCAAATAATGAAAATATTTCTGTGCATTCACCTACAACCACAGTCTATTACAAACATTTTAGAGCACAACTCCCAAGGGAAAAGACCATCTGTCAGTAGGAAACATTATCCCATGTGGTGGTTTCATGGACCCAAAGAGAATTCCTATGTATTCAAAAAATTGACCATTTATGATCCAGCATGAGCTGGCACATAAGACCACCATAAAATTTCATACAGTGGTTTTGATTTACATCACTTTTAATATGTTTGCTGTTGGAAATAACTGATGCATTTGATTTCTATAAGTGCACCCTATTCCGCAGCAATATCCCTTAGTTTTTAAATTAAGCTGAAAATAGTGCACTGCTATGAATTGCCAATGGTAAAAATGCACAGCTTAAAAAAATGATGTCCTACAGATTTAACATGATTAAAAAAAAAAAATCAAAGCACCTAAAGGAAATAAAGAATTTCTAAGAGATTAATGCAAAAGACATATAATTGTATATATGAATTCAGTCAACATGGAAGTAAACACAAGCAATTACTTATGCTCAAACAGAACATTTCATATTTATCTTTTCCCATGGATGAAGACATTAAATAAATGAACCATACAATGGCTAAAACAAAGCCTTCAGAAGGAAAATTTTATCTTCTCCAAAACAAAAATGCGTTCAATATCCACAAGTCCGATCATTATGGGAAACAGAAGCAGTTTTACTACCAGTGACATTCAGCGCTAAACAAACACCACACTGGAAACACAAACCAAAAGAACTAAAATAAACAAGCTTATATTGCCAAAAGAAAGGACAGGTGATGAAGTAGTTCTTCTCTCAGCCACTTTATACTCCATAGCCTACAATTCCACACAACCTTCATTCTTCTCAAAGTTCTGAGCACATTTACTTTTCTCAGGCTACCCCCCCTCCATGTCCTGCAAGATTTTGGGGTTTTTTGCCCTCCACTGATTTTTGTAGGTTGTTGTAACTTAATGCCATATGTAATGACCCAGTCTACCCTGTGTCCCTAATTACTGTGGCTTTATCTGTGTAGTATCATAGAGTAAGCAGTTTTTAAATCCCTAGACTACTCATATCCTAAACATTTTATGGTCTTGTTCTTTCTACATGATCACACACCTGAGCTACAGAAACTGCTGAAGAAATGACACCTGTCTCCTCTGTTGTTCCCTGCAGACACAACTGTGTTCATAAGCACGCTCCTTCGATGCTGATGAAGTCACCAGAGAGACTGACAGTTTCCAGCTCACCCATCACCCACAGGCTGGTTCATCCCTCAGGACGAACACAACCACTAACACAATCACGTGCAGTCACCAAATCGCTCTCACTTTTGCCTGCCAGCAGCACTTAGGCCCTGATTCTCATTAGGGTGCCTACCGTAATAAATATCGCCATAAAGACGTCATCCTGAAGATTAGGAGTTGAACTAAAAGCTAACTCATTTTTAAAAATAAATACAGTTTTCGTATTCACATACAAAGAACCAACCTCAACCAATCTGCTTTGAAATATACTGACCCAATGTACCCTCTTTCTTATTCATCCTACAAAAGGAGATAAAATTCATTAAAATCTCACCAATCAAGAATGTCCAAGGGATACGAACAATGCTAGCATTTCTCCTACTCCTAAAGTCCCTTTCTCCTCTGTAAAGAGCAAATGATGGGTGGTCCAACTGCACTGTGACTCTTTGGAAGTAGGGGGCACAGCAGCCCCTGAAATCACAAAACCAGAAACTTTTTGATCAATACACAAAACATTTTCCCTCTTCAACAAAAAGAAACACCAAAAAAGACCCACCTGCTCCAGGGTGAATGCCAGCAACCATGCACTATCATATCTTTGTACTGCATTATCCTGTACTGCTCCCAACTATGCCTAAAGAATTCAAGTCCTCCAACACAGGGAACATATTATGTGTTTGCAACAAGTCTGCTCTACAGCACTGTATACAATTTTGGCACTATATCAAAAAATACTGACAAAAATACAACAGAAAAAGCTCTGCTTCATTTAGTCACGCCCTCTCACTGCAAGTCACTGGTTCAATTAGAAACTCCCTCTCCCTTTTCTGATCCGCTTTTATCCTCCCATGTTGCTTTCATTACTGTCCTCTCTCTTTTCCAATCCCCATAAAATCAGAGAACCATAACTGAAATTTAAATACAGCTTGCTCCATATCAGTAAACAGGCTCACTTCCAAAAAAACTTACAGAAAGTAAAAAAAATTCACTTCTTCATAGCAGTCTGCCTACATTTGGAAAAAAACTTCATGCAGTCATCACTATGCCTGTATATGACTCTAAAAGTCAAAGGTCTGGTCCAAACAGGACATAACTTTAATCCAGACAGAATTCACACATCTCTGCCACACTGAGGCAAGAAAGTCAGTAATGACAGCTTATTTAATGAGGAAGTACCTAAACATACATCTGGAGGCGTTTTCCCTGCCTTTGCTTTCAGTTGTAGGCACCTGCAGCAAGAAGCTAGTAGTCCTATCAACTCAAAGGATACCATTAAAGTGTTGGAGTGGTGTAGAATGTGAGAAACAACAACAACAAAAAGATTACTCCATTTATTAATATTCTTTCATATTCACATGCTATTATTTCTTTTAAATTAACTTCCCAATAACATTGGATCAAACGTGCTGTGGAAATTGCAGATTTACACACACTTACCTTAGCAACTGAAAGAGTTATCAGCTTGAAAAGTCAGCATACCAACAGAATCTCAGTCCCTAAAACACAATATAATTTGGCTCAGCTATTGCAACTACACAGGGAATGCACTCATTAGTTTTACCTTCATCCCCCCTGAAAAAAAATGAGGGGATAATTGGAAAAAGGAAAGCACCTGCACACAGTTCACAAAATTGACTACTAAAGTAATGGTGAGACATAAAACCCGCCTCAAGCATGCTGTGCTTGCACTCACGACATCTCACAGTCACAGCTTTCACTGACAACTACTTTGCTCAGCTTAGGATTATTGGGATTCTTCTTGTCCATCTAATACAGCAATTTTTCCCCTGGATCTCATCTTGCACATCACCTTTGAATACATATTTCTCAAGCAAACTTGACTTTTATTTCCTAAGAAAGTGATTCTATATCCGCTACTAACCCATAATTTCAGCATCAGCGAGCCCTTAAAAAACAAGTGGCTGCCTTTGAAAATATTAAATTTCTAAGCATGGGAAGAACAAAGCTATTGAGTAGTAAAGCAGTGCTGTTTACAGTTACTATCTGCCCATAATTACAAGTAAGATTTAGTCTGAAGAAATATTTTTTTTAGATGCACGAGGAAACAATTTTAATAAATGTATCAACTATCATCCCTGTTGCCTGATTACTTGAAAAAAGTCACAAATTAGATACAAGAGGAGACTTTTTCAACCACTTTCTTACTGACACAGGAGCCCTGCACTATACTATAGTACCTAAGGATTTGCTCAACCTTCATTTCAGTGACTAAATGTCCACAGTGTTCAAAGAACAGCCTCCCCTCTGTATATTGAATTAACTGAAAGATAAGAATTCATCTTCTGTGCAGAAGGCAACTTAAAAAATGAATAAAAAAGAAGCTCAAAATCTTCAGGCTCATGGTTTTCTCTGAATTGCCATCATTCACTGTAATGCCAAAAAATACATAACAGAAGGAGAAATTGTGAATGATTTTGCAAGGAAGTGGTGAAGAACCATACCGAACTTGCAAAGGCAGAAGATGCCAAGAAAGCCAGACTAACCCCACTAACCACAAAGGTAAATATGTATTTCTTTGGAACACCTCTTAAAGAGATAACAGGTTCCTGACAGGGACAGTCTTTGGTCAGCTTCAAGATTTCTAACCACTGTTCTATTAAAGTAATAGGATAATCACTTTTCCATGTGCTTTCTCTTACTCCATACATTCATAAACAAAGGAGGTTCACCACCACAGTATCTGCTTTCTCTGAGCAGAAAAACAAAGAGAATAGACTAATCTGTCTCTAAGGGGCTTACTGTCCCTGCTGCAAGCTCCTCAACCAGCTTCCCCTGCATCACCCGCAGAGCTCAGACCTTCAGAGGGAGCTAATTCAGCCCATCAATCTGTCACACCACCAATAAACTGGGAAGCAGGAGAGAGGGAAACAGTGGTGTTGGTTGCAGAAAGCTGTTTGTTCACCTAAGCAAATTCAACTGTAACAGAAGCCAAAACAGATTACACAGAAAGAGCAGCTAAAGCAAGCTGTAATTCTCACAGGAAAATAACTATAATGTAAGACAACATACAGAAGAATTCTGTAAGGAAAATGACTTGCAAAAACCAAGACTTAGGCATAATTAAGAGATCCAGAAGACTAACATCCTTAGTCAAAGTTTAGCTTAGGAGAGTCATAAGACTCTCACTCCAAACACAGTCAGAACAATGTAAAATGACAGCTAAGTAAACCAACTTCTCTAAGGTTTAAGCAGACCAACTCTGACAAGTCTTCATGCGACAGTTTAAGTCCCCACTGTCTCAAATGCCTTTCCCACCTCTTTGCTAGGTCTAGGCAAGCAAGTTGGACTGTGGCTTCACCGGCAACCACTAAGACAGGTCTCGCCTGCCACCTTCCCCCGGCAACACTGACCTACCCTCACACACCAAAATTCAGCACTTGTCAGACCTTTCTACAGACAAATTCGAATTGTAACCCCACTGAGGGCCAGCACCACCACAGTGCAATCAAAAGGCACACCCAGAGGAGATTGTGACCTCCCACTTCAGTAGCAGGGCACTATTAGAAACCTGGTGCACCCATAGCTTCAATTTAGACCCACTTCATTGTATTTTAAATAATGTAAATAAATAAATAAATGCCAACATTCCTTTCACTGGTCTTGTTTTAGGAACTGTAAGATCTGTATTCTGAACACCAGTACATGCAGTGCTTAGCCCTCCAAAGCAAAAGTTTCAGGAGCCATTTTTAAGTATCTTTATTTTTACACTTCTAAAAAACACCTTTAAGAAATGAAGACAATTCCCTATCATCTCCTTCCTTCAGCAACTCAGTCATTTTGGTCAACTTTTTTTACAGAATTTTATTTATTTTTTTTTAACACAGTATTATGACAGACTGTACCTCTCCTTTAATTCCCCTTCTTCCTCCAACTTCTATACTGTGAGCCTTCAAAGCACAATATGGAAGCAGCTCCTTATATTCATCAAAAGGAAACTGCCAGAGTTCTATAAGCTTACTTCTATGAACTACATCTCATCCACTGATTCTAGACTTGTAAAACAATTCAAAAATTGTATCAGTAGATAAGCAGAGAATAGGTTATCAGGTCCCAAGCAGGTTTCCATGCAAACAGTAATTTCCAAATAGGCAAATAAAATTAATCTCTTCAGTAGGTTAAAATGATGACCTAAAACCTGTGCATACATATACTTTTTAACAAAGCTCTGTTTGGCACCAACCTGTTTTACAAAATTATAGGGCTTCCTAGATATCAGATGTTTTCTTATTTCATCACTCAGGAATTATGTGGTTACACCAACGTTAACTGGGCATAGTTGCAAAATGAGCTGCCAGTATCCTAGAATTAATCAATCTCAAGTATATTGTTTCGTAATTAAGCTTATGAATACATCATCCCATGAATATAAAAACAGCAGCAATAAACACATCCCAGAAAAGGAGAATTAGAAGACTCTTTTTCAGCTTTCTAGGACAGCTAAATCAGTTCGAGGCCATTCTTCACTATTAACCTTTTCCAGTGTGGTTGTGCTGAAGGTCTCTAACTGGGAAGCATTTTATATAAGCAAATTGTTCTTAAACTTCTACAGTCACATAACTAGACAGCAAATTTAGGTGCTATTCCATCTGCAGTTTACAAAACTGTGTTTTAATAAAAATATAATCGTTTTGAAAGATTTAAAAGCTGTGGGGTTTTTGCCATTATGGTTGAATTAATTCACAGTTCTTTCTATATTTCTAAGATACTAATTTATACTGCAGCTACAGCTCCTGCAATAATCAATAGAGCATTCCAACATAGGAAAGACAGAAATTCAGGTTCCCATTTAACAAATATTTGAAGGAGAAAGAAAAAAATAGGGTAAGTACAACAAGTATATTTCTGTTTAAATAATATAAGCTAGCAGCTTCTTTTAATTATTGCTATTTTCAATTCCAAAACTTAAATATTTAGAAGCAATTTGCTAGAGAAATATAATCTCCACAATGCTTATCATCAAATATGATAATACTTTCAATAACTGTTATGGTAAGTAGGTCAATGATGCCTGAACAAGATAACTAAATGGACACTCCAAAATTAAACTTTTCCTCCTCCTTATCACAGTACATTTACAATAACCATATGAAAAGATTAGATTACATGGCTGGAATGTTAGCAGGCTAACACCTTATCATCCTTTCTTCTGGTATTATAATATTACAGTTCTCTTACATAGTTACACATGCTCCTGTTGTGCCCCAACGGCTTTTATGCAGCATTTTTCATAAGAAAAAATCTGAAAAGCACAAATGCAAAGCAGTTATTATTGTCCATTTTTTTAAATGGGAATTGTGTGAATCATACTTAATTCAAGTAGGCTTGCTTTTCAGGTTTGTCAAGTTTGAACTCCACACAGATGCAAATTACTGGTAAAACTTCTCCCTGCATCCTAATGAGGTACACTCTAAACCATGAAGCCAACTTGAAAACAAGAACGTTTTTGAGACAAACTTTACTTGACTTAGGTGTTCTAAGTGTTCAAGGAACTAGCATTTTAAGAGAAAATTTGACCCAACAGCACTTAACTTCTGCACGATCTTGAACCTGTGATTGCTACAACTCCAGCTTCCCAGAATAACGCCTGTGCTGGCACAAATTTTTTGCAAGGATTTTGCAGCAGGAGAAGCTGCCTAAGCAGTGCTGCGAAGACTCCCAACTGCTGAGCTCTGAACCCAACCTCTTTTCAAAACATTGCCTCATCCTTCCAAGAACGGTCAGGCCAGAAGGGAAAGCAAATTGTCAAAACTGTTGTGAAGTATTAAACAACCAAATCTGTCACTTCAGTTAGCAGATACCACCATTTCAAGTGTATCTTTACTGGCTTAAAAATGATTGCCAACACAGGACTACCGAGTATGCTGCAGTATGTGGAACACGCTGATCAGTAGGGAGATTTCTTTCACAGAATTCCTGCCTATTGCTGCTTCAAATAGGGCAGACTGAGCTCTCAAAAAAAAACAAAAAAAGGAAAAAAATTATTGACAAATGCGATCATTAAGGTTCAACAATCAGATGGATAACCTGAAGTATGGAATGAACATATGCAGATGCCCATGCAGCCAAGATAAATGAACAAAAAAAGTCTCATCCTGAAGAAAATCAGGAGATGACCTATATTAGAAGTTACTGGTTAAAATTCAGCATTTTAGAGAGATGGTTTCTTTTCTTCCAAGGCATTAATGCATTCTGGAAAATATGGCACATTAATGTGTCCACAGAGCAGCTTAGTGCTGTAACAAATAATATTCCTTCACTGCTTTAATTTTCCCATTCACTAAAAAATGAAGCTTATACCAGAAGACTGATTAGCCATCCTTGAAAAATCTTTGGAACCCATAAATCAGTTCTAACTAAGTTTAAAAAGAAGAAAAGAGCTTTTAAAGATAATTAAGTTGCTATTAATTTTATGAAAACTGGAAGCTGGATAAACATTTCCAAAATACCAATGTCATCAAAAAAGACAAGCAGAACTTGGAAATTATATACTGTTTCACAGCTGGTCACTTTGCATATGCCATTTGGATAGACAGTAAGCACATGCCTTAGCTCTACTACAGCTACACTTTGCCCACTAGGGATGAAGGAGCTTGTGGTATTGTCCTGTAAACTCTCCTCACCATACAAGGCTCAAATGCACAGGAAACACAAGTTCTTTAGTCTCAACCCTGTTACATGACAATAACATATATAAAATGCAGTCTAAACAAATGAAGAAAGTTCAGGATGCCAATTTTAAACTGCCTCAATTATCTTATATGGTTATGGGAAAGACTGGTTATTGTCAAGACAACATTTATATCGAACACAATACCAGTATTTCACCTTACAAGTCTTTTGAACTTATTATTTACATGCTGCTCACCCAGGCATAAGAAATAGAGAAACCAACTGTTTGCTCTACAGTCAGATTTAAGCAGAGGGTCTCCAGAATCTCTAGTGGCAATAATACATTATGAAATGCAACTTAACTGTTGAGTTACACACAATTTTAGGGCTCCTGCCTTAAATGGATTTTTAAACAAAAAAAAGCCCATGAGTTGCATACTGAATTTATTTATAACTATAACTCTCTTGGAACAGGTATCAAGATATATTATATTTACTAGCCTGAAGCAAGCCTAATAAAACATTCTGGCAATTTAAAGATAAACACCAGAAAAGTATAACACTGGGTAATTTTTTTTTAATTTAGTTAGCTACCCTACTTGCTATGATGGTGTCTAGCTTTTTAAGAAGATGGTATTGTTATGGGGCAGAGGAAGAACTGCTAGACCCTCTGTATGACAAGAAGGGTAGTGGGAGAAGTGAAATGTGAGTAGTAGGTTTGGAAGCCTGAGGTATTTTTC